GTGACGGGAACTGGAGCAAGATGTACCATCTTGCTCAGCCGACACACGAACACCAAAATTCCGGTGTTGCCGTGTCCGTCGGCGGAAAGCTCAAAGATGAAGTCAAGACTCATCGACTTCCAACAATCAGCCGGTACGGGCAGGCTCTGTAGTGGAGCCGAAGCGTGCCCTGCGGGTTTGACCCGCTGACGTACCGGGCGACCCACTTGTACATGTGGGTCCACCAGAAGGACTGAGAGACCGACAGAAAGGTCTTCTCGCGGCCCAAGTGGCCGCTAGAGGGCGTCATACGCCTCCGCGAGGATGTCGAACTTCAGATTCTCGTCGTTGGGTACGACCACGCGTGGAGGTTCATTGGGCTCCACCCGGTAATAGAGGAGGCCATCCTTCAACTCATATCGGTGGAGCCGTGAGCGCTGTCGCGACGAGAGTCAGTCGGACTTCGCGCTCGTTCCTGCCGTGAGGAACTTGACGATAGACGCGACAGCCTCGTCGTCCCGGTACGCCATGCGTATCCGATCATATAGATCCGTCGTCTCCCGTGTGATGTGGGCCAACGCATAGTCGGGACGCCGAGAGAGGGCGTCCGCAAGCACGTTGAGCTTGCCCGGCTTGTATTCGACGCGGAAGCTGTATTCCGCGAAGAAGGACAGCCACCTCGCCATCCTTTGGGAGAGATGAGGCGAGTTAGTCGCCGTCCTCAAGGACGCGTGGTCTGTGTAGATCACAAAGGGTCTAGAGCCCAGAAGGTGAACACGGAACTTCACAAGAGCATATTTCATTGCCAGGAGCTCCTTGTCATGGACAGGGTAGTTCCGCTCGGCGGCTTTGAGCTGCCTGGACTGGAACGAGATGACTCGTTCATGTTCAGCCGTGTCGGCCTGCAGCAATGCACACCCGATAACGTAATCGGAGGCATCGCAGACGACGCTAAACGGCTTCGTCTCGTCTGGCAGGGCCAGGACAGGGCGTCTTGGAGACTGGCCTTGATGCTGTCAAAAGCATCCTGGTGCTCTTGCTCCCAGCGTCAGTCGACGTCCTTTTTAAGGAGACCCGATAAGGGCTTAGCAAAGCCCGCGTACCCTGCACTGTACTTGTGAAGGTAGTTAGCCAAGCCCAGCCACTTTCGAAGATCCTTCTGGAATCGGGGCGTCGGCCATGCTGCTATGGTCTTGACCTTGTCTGGGTCAGCCCAAACACCCTCGTTGCTTACGAAGCAACCGAGAACGTTAATCTCTTGTGAAGCGAAAACGCACTTGTCGATGTTGGCGTAGAGTTTGTTTGCTCGCATTACGTTCAACACTCGACGGAGGTGTCCAAGATGCCCCTCCATGGCAGTATTGCCTCCCTCGGCACGGCTATGGACGAATATTTCGTCGAAGTACGTCTGTACGAAGGTACGCAAAGGACGGAACAATTGCGTCACCAGGCGATTGAACGTCGCCAGGGCGTTAGACAAGCCCTGCGGCATGACGAGCCACTCCCAAAACATGAGTGCTCACCGCGGTGAGCGGGCTGTCACTCTCTCGCATCAGGATCTGGTAGTATCCGTCTACCAAATCCAGCGCACTGTACAGTACGCTCCCGGCCACGTTGTTCAACAACACACCCTTTCGTGGGATCGGTGTTTGGGCCGGCACCGTTGCGTTGTTCAGCTTGTTATAAGCGGGAGCCAGACGCCACTTTCCGTTCGGCTTACGAACGCAGAAAGTCGGCGTCGAGTGCGGGGGTTTCGACTCCCGCACCATGCCTGCCTTCGCTTTCGCGGCGAAGAAGGCATCAATGACCTCGCACTGTTCGCGCGGGAGAGGCCATTGCCTCGTGACACAATACTTTGTGCCGTACGCCTCGATCCGGTGGGAGTTGGGTCGGTGGGTGTTTGTTCACCACGTCCGCGTACTCCGTCACCAAAGGATACACCGGATCCTTGGAGCTCTTAAGGATTTCAGAACCCAAGCGCGTCTGACGCTGCTTGTTCAGGTCTTCCAGGACGTTCTCGTCCAAGACAGAGGAGAAGTTCAGCTCCTCCTGAGTGGTCCTAGGTCTCATGAGTACCATCTCAGCAATCTCCCCAGTCTTGAGGTTGGTCAGGAAAGACTCAGGCGTCATTTCCTCGAGGTGCAGTATCTCTGCAACCTCTGGCAACGGTTCCAAGTGGACACCAGATGCCTTGACGGGTAAACCTGTCTCGCCATCGAAGATGTGATAACACTCTTCCACCGGCCTTGTCGGAGGAGCCCGGGCCCTGGACTCCGAGTCGCTTGAAGCGACGTCGATCGGAACGAAGTTCGGATCCGACTTGAGGCGGCGGCGGCGTCTTTGCCGACGGCGTCTGTGACGGGGAGCTTTGCTGCCCACGTCTAGGGATGTCGTCGCTACGACATCCGAGGCACTCGTGGCCTCGTGTGGTACTGTTGTACCCACACAGGAAGCGTGTTCAACGCCTTCCTCTTCAGTTAAGGTCTGGGCGACCGCGTGTGGCACTATGTTACCCACACAGGAAGCGTATCCGACGTCTTCCTCTTCAGTTATGGTCTGGGCGACCGTGAGTGGAACTCTGTTACCCACTCTGAACACGCTGTTCTCAGTGTTCATGCCAGCTGCAGCTGTCTGCGGAACTAAGTTACCCGCCTGTGGACCTAAGTTACCCACTTGGCCGGCGCCTCTTCTGGGCGCGGCCACCATCAAAACATCCTCGGAGTCGTCATATACGTCGACGAATCCCAAGCATCTGCCGGATGCTCTGGTACCCTGGCAGCCCTCGCGGGCGCCCCGGGTCCTGACAGAGGTGGGAACATGACTCACCAATGCTCTGTCGGACTGCGCAGGGCGGCTGGCACCGATTGCCTTGCCTCGCCAGTCGATCCAGGGCTCGTGCTTCTCAAGCCAGGGCATGCCCAGGATCATATCATATGGATCCATATCGAGAACAGTGAGCTGTTCGAGGCTAACAAAGTCTTCCAACTTGACAGCCAGATCCACTTGGACGTTGGGGACAGTGACGACCTTCCCGTCGGCCAGTCGCACTGACACCGTCCCGTTGCCCTTGCTTTCTCTCAAAGCATCGGACAACGTGTTGCTGTTACGAGCAACCGTCTGGCGGCGTGCGAACTTCTTCGACGCCCCAGAGTCAATCAAGATTCTAAAGGGATGATCGTATCCCCGTACACATCCGTGTACTACGAGCAGCCCGCCACTGCTCTTCGCCGATTCGAGAGTGCGAAGACTCTCAGGGGCTAAGTCCCCGTGGTACGCGCCACCCGCGCACCCGTCACGAAGACTTAGTTGTTCCCCAGTAGGGCGCCCCGCCCCTACTGGTTCCCGGCGTTCCCCGGTCCCCGGGATCCTGGCTTCTGCCAGCGACCCTTGAGGACAAGCTTGGGGAAGGACCGTCTGCGGAGTCTTTCCGCGGGACAGTCGCGCTTGAAGTGGCCCATCTTCCCGCAGCCGAAGCAGCGGATGTCACGCTGTTCGGCGGACCCGAGTTCCATGGGAACTGGTCCGTTGGGGCTTGTTCGACCGGGAGCAGACAAGGAACTCCCAGGCCATGCTGAGGCTGGCGTACGCGCCTGGCGATGGTTGTACGCTTCTTGAAGAGCAGCTTGAATCGCCTCTTCAAGGGTGCTTGACTGCACCCGGAACAGCTGAGTGCGTGCGGGGCCCACTCGAAGGCCGTCCATGAACACAGTCATATTGATGTGTTCGCTGAGTGGGTTTCCCACTAAAACGCCGTGAGCTCCCGTATATCTTGCACATACTCGTGCAGTTCGCACCTCCCTTGTTTACACGAGAGGAAGCGCGAATGCTGGCGTTACTCGTAGCTCGCCGGGAGGAACGCGGCTTGGCGCTGTTCGCACAGCTGAGCCCAGGATGTGAAACATCCAGGGGATGTTGCTTCCCGAGTGTACACCCAACTCTTAGCACGGCCGCTAAGGTTGGAGAGTGCAAAAGCAACACGCAGTTGCTCGGTCGAGATCAGAGCCGCGTCCATCGCGAGCTCTACTTCTCGGACCCAGAAGTGAAGGTTCTCGCCTTCCTTCCCTTCGTACGGCTTAACCTTCAGCCGTATTGGCTTCGGGTGAGGCGGATTTGCTTCCACCGCCGGAGCCTGCAGGTTCTCCCGCACATGCGCATTGAGCCCCTGCTCGTACGCGTCAAATGCATTGACGCGATCGAGCTGCTCAGCCGGTGTTGACACCACCAGGCTCTGCAGGGCCTCCATCCCGAAGATGCCTGCCATCTTCCGAACCGACTCGAACTGAGAGTCGTTCAAATGGGAGAAGTCGTTCCTATCCATGGCAACGAACTTCGGAGAGGTTCAGGTAGTCTACCCGCGGTGGCGTGGATTGACTACTAGTGCTACCAAGTGTGACGGGGTCACACAGCACCTTGCGCTAGAGGAAGTTATCTTCCGAGAGTATACAAACTCTCAGTGAACGGCAGTTCACAGGTCCCCTCTTTAATTAAAGAGAGCGAAGTGACCTAAATAAGGTAGATTGTAAACTGAGTATATTTATAGGTAGGTTAAGTTTGGGTTTAATACAAACTATAAGCTACCTATAGAAATGCAATGTCATTTAACCAATGGTTGGCTTTGAACGACCTTGGTACCTTGTACCAAATATCCCGGTGTATGACGTGTCATACTCCTGAAGTGTGAAGTGTCACACTTCATGTAACCAGGGTACACTTAGGGCTACGTACCCCGCTACAGAGAGAGAAGCTACAGACGTCCGGGTAAGTTGAGTCTTGGTGTCGAGGTCTGTTATTTTAATAAATGTGTTGAAGATGTGCACGCTACTCATGACAACACCAATGTGCTTGAGCTTTCGTGCGACGACTTAATCTCGAAATTCGTTGAGCGACTTAGTCTGGTAGCTTCGCTGTCAGTGCAAAAACAAACTAAGCTTATAATTAGAGAAGCTTGAGCAATGCTAACAGCGGTCTCGCATGATCTTTTCGGAATTCCTGTGGCGTTGTTGAGTTTGCATTATGGAGATCTAGCTGAGTGAGCTACTCTTCATTTTCTGGAAAACCGACGACGCCAGCGAGTGCTTTCTCTCGCCTAGACTGCTGGCGGTTGTAAAGCTACTTGTAGCAGAGCTGTAGCTCGATGAGGACGATAAGTAGTAGTCGGATGGCGATGATGAAGCTGAGCGTAGTGCAGGGTGGCCTGGCGGCGGTGGGGTGTTTAGGCAAGCGCCTTTTATTGGTGACAGAGTAGATACCGTCGTTGACGCTCCCGATGCAGATGCCGCCGACTCGCAGCTTTTTCGGCGTTTCTGGACACACCCAATGCACACCCGTACACTCGTTGAGCCGACATCAGGAAGAGCAACGTCCATCTTGGGGCAGCACTCAGAGCAGCAAATTTCGCCACACAGACGACAATGATGACGACGGCGTGACAGCCCGAATTTTGCATCACAGATACGGCATCCCAAACGTTCACGATTGTGTACCCAGTGCGGTGCATTCACAAGTAGAGACTGCGATAAGCGCCGACTCGTAAGTACCTCTTCCAAACGCGCGATTTTAGCACCCAATGCGCGCAACTTCGCGCGCCGAGAGGCCATCGGTAGCTGTGCTTTCTCCAAAATTGACGCTACAAACTGGATCTCTACATATCCGTCGCGACTACGTGCTTGGCGTACCATAAAACCTGTTGGTTGGAGATCCGTAGGTCTGGAGCCTACCTCATCCAGCCAAGGCTGGCATTGCGGGTTGTAGCACGATTGCATCGTGCGCACGTACATTGGTGATGGGTCTGCATGTTCGTCCCAATCGTTCACCAGAATACACTCGTAATCCAAGAGGCAATAGGTTGTTCGAGATGCAAACATCCGACTGGACTTTTCGCCGACAATCCACTTGATGCTGAGGTTTCCCTGATGACCCGAAGTTGCTATTGCTGTACGATAATCTTCCATGTAAGAAGGGGACAAGAACGGCCCCGAGTTTGTAGATCCTAATCGATCGGTCTCTAGTGAATCGCCGCGAGTGCCTCGAGCGCGCCCGGTAGTTGATTCTCGACTGAAACCTGTGAAAGACTGTAAATCGTCTTCGGTTTCCAAGTCTGAGTCCGAGTACGAAGATTCGCTGTCACAGTCTTGTGTTGACGCCTGGGAGGCAATTCGTTGCGACGTCAAGTCACTACTTTTCCCACTGGTGCCGTTGCTCGTGTTGTTATTGCTGCGACGCAGACGCTTCTTCTTCTTGCGGCGATAAATGAAGGCTGACGCGCTGGTTCGAACACCAACAAGATGTTGCATGGGTAGTTCCATATCTTCTCTGTCGGAGCGGACGAGCAGATCCACAACCTCCTCAATCGATGACGGTAACAGCGCCACACATTTCACAAGGTATTGCTGCAGCACTTTGGACGTGAACACATTGCCTAGTCCAGCAGCCGACGACGCAGCGTCCCAATCGGAAGTGTCACCATCCCATGCACCGCTGCCACTCGCGCCGTTGTTGTTGCTACCATTAGCGGCTGCGGGGTCTGCGCTAGAACTCGCCTGGTCATCACCTCCTTCACCGCCGTTAACGAGCGAGTTCATGGTTTTCCACAGAAACTTGTTGGTACCAATCGGACACACGCGCTCCATGACGCGGACCTTAATTGCGCCGCCCGTTCCCGGGTTCTCTGTGGTGGACGCGGCGGCAGCGGCTGCGCTGGCGCTGACGGGGCTCCAGTTAACTGAGTCCTGCGAGCCAAAGCCGAAGAGGCTGAGCGATGCACGCGCCTGCGATTCGAGGTCCTCCTCGACGGCACGCGAGAACGTAGCGCTCGTCAATGGCGCCGGCTGCAGTGATAACGCACTGGACATGCTCTGCGTGCTGCTAGTGGGCTTCAGAAGCCGCGTGGTGTTCCTATTCGCCATATTGCTGCGGCCAGCGAGTCACAAGGTCTGGACTGGAGATAAAGGGAGTGGTCTGGCCCACGGGATCCTTTGCGCCCGCGAAAGGAGAGGCGGAAGGACAGCGACTGCTTGTGGCTTCTGGCGTCGCCAAACGACGAGCACGACACCAGCCGACGATGCGCGAGAGAAGGGAAGTTTCTCCGGTTTTGCATTCCCTGTCTTATCAGATATAAATTCATTTAAAAATGCCTTTCTATTCATAGCGCATTACACTTTGTTAAATGGATTACCTGTACTAGCGTATGCAGTGATTGCAACATTCGATTTCTTCCAGTATGGCTGTCATAGCGCATCTTACCATCGAGATGCTGTGGTGCAGGGGCGGATCCGGACGCAGAGCTACACAACCCGAGCTTCGTGCGTACCAGTACAGTGCACCAAGCACCGCGCCATGTTGATGTCATGAGACAGACAGCACAATAAGCATCACGGTGGTTCAAGTCTACAGTAGAACCGGCTTTGCCACTGACGAACGATGACTTCCTCTTGCACTTGTCGCTATTCATATCAAAGTAAGCACTAACACGACATAGAGCTGATCGCATCAAAGCAGTAGCTGCATTGGGTGACACTAACACGCAGGGCTATTTGATTCAAAGTGCTTCCATGAACATGAGATCCGAATCACCGCCGTCGCCGGAATTTGTGTTGTCTCCTCCAGTGCTATTGCTGTTGCTCTGTCCAGCACCTGAACTACTGTTGCTGTCCTGGCCCATGAAGCCATCCATATCGAGCAGATCCATGCTTGAGAAATTTGTGGGCGAGAGGTCGTTCGGGAAGTTCATGAAGCCCGACGAGGAACCTGACGATCCCAGGTTGGATGGCATCTGCAACAAGCTGCTGTTATCCATTCCTCCGTACAGCGAGTCGTCCAGGCTTAAGGACGAGGTATCCGTACGAGATGTTGGAGCAGATGATGGAGCGTGCTGCTGCTGCTGTGATTTTTGTGGCTGAGACTGGGTCTGCTGCTGCTGACCCTGTTGCTGTTGTGTCTGTTGCTGACCTTGTGTCTTCTGCTGAGCCTGGTTCTGATGCGGGTGCTGCTGGCGAGATTGCTGAGAAGCTGGATGCTGGGGCTGAGACTGGGCAGGCTGCGGCTGACCATTCGGGGCCTGCTGGGGGCGCTGGGCTTGTTGACCCTGAGCCTGCTGGGCTTGATGCTGTTGCTTCTGCTGAGGTGTCTGCTGGGTACCAGAAGGCTGGCCGTTTTGCGACTGATTGGATGCGTTGGGTTGGTTCGGCTGCTGACCGATAACTTGAGCTTGGCTCGGTTGAGTTGGACCCTTTTGCTGCTGTTGCATCATTTGCTGATGCTGCATCATTTGTTGCTGGCGGGCCTGAGCCTGCATTCGCTGTTGTTGCTGCTGCATCTGCTGGGCGCGCTGCTGCATGAGATACTGTTGCTGCTTCTGCTGGAGCGACATGTTCGGCTGTCCTTGTTGCGTGAGCATGGCTCCATTTGGTCCATTCGAGGTATTAACCGGTGCTGGGGCTCCTCCAACACTTGCAAGAACACCAGCATTGGCAGCGGGGTTCGTCGGAGCGGAGGGGTTCACTCCAGCCGGATTGGGGCCGCTGGCGTTCGGGGTAAAGCTGCGCTTATCAGTCTCCGTACGCAGCTTCTTTAAATATGGGTTCACAATCTTTACGATGTACTTATACACCTTGTCCAGCTCTTCAATCTTCCGCGGTGGATTCGCCGTCTTGTCCTCGTTTAGAATGCTCGCACACAGCTGCACATAGCTGAGAAGATATCGCAGCTTCTTCTTCTGCTCCGTCTCGTCGTGGCCCTTCATGTGATCTACATACTTCTTAAATGCACTGTGGACCTTCTCGACATCATCGTGATACTTCGCCTTAAGTGCTGCATGTTGTCGCCAGTACTCTGCCGTCATATCACCGGGAACGCCTGCAACGTTACCCTCTGGGTTGGTAGCCGCCCGTGGTGTAGTATTAGCTCCGTTTGGAGGTGCAGGGTTTGCTGGCATACCTCCGGCACCCATCGACATTGGCTTGGCAGCCTGAGGTTGCTGAGTACCCGGGTGGGCAGCAGGGCCGCCAAACTGCTGGTGTCCTGGATAGCCTCCGACCTGACCTCCATTAGCACCGGGTACGCCAGCACGTTGATTTAGGTTCAGCGTATTGTAGTATGAAAAGTCCAGTCTCGACAGCATGCCCTGATTGGGCAGAGTCTGTGCCGCCATCACTGCATTCATGTCCGTCTGTTGCGCGCGTAAGGACTTGAGGCGAGTGAAGATCTTGTTAATGTACTCCTCCTGCGTGCGCGATTCTTTGTAGAGCGTCAGTTCGTACCACGACACGTTCATCCAGAGCTTAATACCCGGCACTGGGTCAGCGGACACGCGGACCATCTCGTTGTAGCTGCGATCACACAGAGTAGCCAAGTCAGAAAAATACAACCATCATCAAGCAAAGAAATAACTGCCATCCATACATCTTGGCAATGAGGTTTGCACGGTGTTCACGCGTGAGCTGGATGCGCCAATCTGCGCCGGGTGTACCAGCCTGCGCTCCCGTCACTTGCATACCCGGTGCTGCACTAGCAGGGTTCATAGCATTCGGGTTCATTTTCATGGCCATAGAGCCCATGTTCAGCTGGTTCATCTGACCCATACTCATCATCATTTGCTGCTGCTGTTGCTGCTGGTGCTGAGGGATACCGTAAGCGTTCATGGACATGCCACCGTTCATGCCCATAGCCATAGCTTGCGGATTGGCGCCGCTCGCACCGGCCATTGCCATTGACATGGGCATCGACATGCCGCCCTGCATACCCATCGCGTTTATGGCGTGTGGGTCCATCGTCGGTGTCGGCGATCCTCAAAGACTGCAGGTGGGGTACGGAAATGAATGCAGGTCACTTTCCGCGCGCTGAGGCTCCGTTCAAATGGCCGTCGACATCGGCCGTTTTTGCGGTAGCGACCACCGATTATCAGCTGTAGATTGGCTGAAATGTATCCGATTTTCAGCAAATCGTGACCCTTCCGTACATAACTGGACAACCGTTCGTTTCTCTGAATGGACGGTGGCAGACGATGTGCATTCCGTGGTAACGGTCACTCACTAAGCAATTATGTGCAGGTAGATTAAAGACCAATCCGATTCATGCAAGTTACATATCCATGTGCGCAATAAGCATATGAAACACAGATAGAAAGTGGCGGATCTCAACGTCGACCATTATTATTAGCAAAACGCTCGGTAAGCATTTGCTGATGCTACTAAACGTTTCTGAAGACGACCGCGGATTGGACGATATTTGCTTCATCCCACGCTTTGAAGTGGCCCACTTCTATTACCGGTAATACTGTAGTGAGTACACTGTGCCACGAAAAGGGTGGAGGTCGTCCGTGACCAAGCACCAAAGCTCATTCAGCTGCTAGTCTTTATGGGTGACAATCCATCCGTTTACCAATGCGATGCTGAACTCGTTTTTGCTCCGAGTTGTCGTTAGGCCGCAAGAGTACCGCACACAACAAGCTGCTCACTGTGGCAAAGGTGCCCTGCTTAATTAGAGGAAAGCCCTGCATAGAATCAATCTCTGTTATGGCGCCCCTCGCGCACGTGCTGCTGCCGGCCGCACTAATGGCGGCATCCTGCACGGCCACAAACCCGGCGAACTCGATCCTATCGGCTGTTGTAAACGTCAAGAAGTCGGAGGCCGTGTTCTATGCGTCCAGTGCTGCGGAGGAGGACTGGGGCGCGTCTCTTGAGGCTCAGAAGCTCAAGGACGGGGGAAAGCACGCTTTCTACCCGCTTGTGTACAATGCACCGGGACTTGGCGATGGTTATGGCTGCGTGTCCAAAGAGAAGCTGCTGGATAATACAAGTAGCGGCAACATGTCGGCCTCCAGCGTATCAGGCCCTGCAAGCGCGACGTTGCTCGGACTGCCCGATCATCCCTTCGTTTTGCTCGTGGACCGCGGTGGCTGTACTTTTGCAGAGAAGGCTTATTACGCACAGGAGCTTGGGGCAGCCGTTCTTATCGTCACAGACACTCTCGAGCAGCTCTACAACCGCTCCAACAAAGTGGGCGTCTCCCAAGAGGAGAAGCAGATGGAATTGAGCTGCTCCCGCGGCTCTGGCAAGGCGGACTGGAATGCTGATATTACTGACTTCACGTCGACCTCATGGGAAGGCGACGTGGGAGTGCGCTCCTGCAGGGGTAACAACAAATGCTCATCGCACATGTGCGTGCCTTCGGGTGGCCTGAACAAGCAGGTCTGCTGTGCTTGGGACATACCCGACCTCATGGGCTTTGGCACTACGGACGTTGTAACGGACAAGAGCTTGGTAAGCGATATTATTGTTGTACGAATTTCTATCGCCGATGGTGACTCGCTGAAGGAAATGCTGACGACCGGGAGCGAGGACGAGGATGGCCAGTTGCTGATATCGGTCTACGAACGTGATCCTCCTGTGATGGACCCTGCGCAGGTGATCCTCTGGATCGTTGCCTGTGCAACTGTGTTGATGGGATCGTACAAGGGCTCTGCCTACGAGCGTACAAAAGCGCAGCTAAAGGCAGCGCTCATCGCTGCTGATGCCACTTCTTCAGACGCCATCGCCCAAGCCCGAGTGGCGTATGAAGAGCACGACGAGCAGATTCCAGAGCAGGAACAGCTCGATCTCAATTCCTGGCACGCCCTGGCATTCTTGGTGCTTGGGTCAGGCTTCCTCGTGTTACTCTTTTTTGTCAATGTGGTAATTGTGGTGGTGGCTCTTTTCGGCGTCGGCGCCGTGTCTGCTACTTTCCAGGTTATCTGGGAGCCACTCATGAGACGACTTCCTGTGAATTTCTTGCATAAGTTACCATGGCGCGACGTCTTATGGCAATGGGAGGACCTGCTGGTGCCCGCAGCGTGGAGTGTGGGGGATTTGCTAGCTCTGGTGTTGTCATTCGGAATCGCCCTCTTTTGGTTTTTGACGCGATTCCAGTCATACTCGTGGGTCTTCCAAGACCTCTTCGGTGTTTGCTTCTGCCTCGTATTTCTGCGGACTGCCCGGCTACCCAATCTCAAGGTGGCAACGGTGCTGCTGGTGCTAGTATTTATGTACGATGTCTTCATGGTTTTCATATCACCATATATTTTCAAGGAAAGCGTCATGATCAAGGTGGCCACCGGTGGCGCACAGAGCACTGCCACGGGTGGAGTTTCCAGTGGTTACTGTTTGCGCTACCCGACTGATACAAAGCACGACTGTCGCTCCGAATCGATGCCAATCTTGCTTCGAGTCCCTAAGGTGCTGGATTGGCGATCTGGCTTTTCACTTTTGGGTCTAGGTGATATCGTGCTGCCTGGTTTGCTGTTAGTCTTTTGTGCACGCTACGACTATGCTACGCGTGGTCAGTTATTTGGACGCCTAAAGCCTCCCCACGGCAAGATGTTTGGTCGACACCCCGTGAGCGATGCCTTGAACGGTTTATCGCCAGCAATGACGGCTAACCGAGATTTAGACATGTCAGGAGCAGAGCTCGGTGGTGCTAAGCAGCAGCACCTATGCCGTCGAGGGCTCTTTTGCTTGCTCATGTGGGGTTACACTATCGGGCTTCTTTTGGCAAATGTCGCCGTTGTGACCACGGGTAGCGGACAGCCAGCGCTGATGTACCTAGTCCCTTGTACGCTCGGCTTGCTGGCAAGCGTGGGGTGGCGACGTGGAATTCTTAGCAAACTCTGGGAGGGCCCACCGGAGCTCATTCCCGGCTACGCTCGTCGCGAGAGCTCCTCAAGTGGAGGAGGGCTAGACATTAATGACGTTACTCGACTGCGAGGACTGAGTTTGGAACCAAGCAAGGCTCCTACCAGCGAGCTGGTTCTTCTTCAGCAGCAACAAAGTGACACTCCCGTATCCGCTTCCTATGCGAGCGAAAATACTCCTATGCGCCGGGACAGTCCGTCAAGTCCAGCATTGAGGCAGGTATAGTATAGTATTGTTGCTCAGGCCCCCTTTTGCTCTTGTAGATAGATCATCAGAACGATTTGAAATATATGTGCGTTGCTGTTTTATCCTGTTTAACGTTTGATATCGATGGTGCAGCGATCAAATACCTTTCACCCACTCGTCATCTTCGCCCCATTCGTCCACAGCGGTGAGTTCATCATCCATCTCAGCAGCGAACAAAGCCGATGCCTCAGCAGCAGTAGGCAGTGACGACGACGATGAGGAAGATGGTGCCGCCATTCCTGGCTGGGGAATAGGAGTCGCGCTTGTAGCTGTAGACAGGGGTGGAACCACTGCACTCTTTTTGAACGTGGGCACCATGCCAAATTGCTACACAGAGAAACACAAGTCAGGTGACCATACCTTATAAACGCAGTATATCAAGCTAAACTTACGCTGAACAAGTCGTCAACGCTCTCGCCTTCCTTCTCCGTCTCTGCGGAAGCTCCGTGGTTGCTAGTTAGCATTGCGAGTGCTTCATCTGTAACGACCTCGAATGAGTCACTAGAGCTGTTCGATTCGACACTCGAAGGAAGCAAGTCACCTTTGCCAGTAATTGCAATTTCCTGAAGTTGAACATGTTGTTGTGGTGGAGGAGGAGGCAGTGGCTGCATGAGCTTGAAAGGGCTGGCGCTGCTGTTATTTTGACGCGGTGACGTCGTACGTGGAGCACTGGGTGTTGAAATAAACGGGTTCAACTGGGACACCTGATTCTGCGTGGGGTTTCCTTCCCAATCGTCCCAGTTTTCGCGATCATTTGCGAAAGTATCCTCCTCATAATCGTCACAGTATTCGTCATCATCATCTTGGCTGTGACTAAATGGCTGCTCGTCTGGTACTTGCGTGTATTGAACCTTGGGCCCCTTGGGAGTAACATTCCCGGGCGTACCTGAGCTTGATGGTGCGCTGGAACGTCTCTTACGTCCCCAGAGCAGCAGGAATATGCAACAGAAGCCGGCCAGCGCCACGATGACTAACGGGTTGCTGCCCTGGTTCAGGTACCCCGGTGACTTTGCTTCCGCGGTGTCATTCGTGACAGTGTTTGAGATCATGGCTGGGTCTTGTGTGCGCAAAGATGGCTTCGAGGTGGTGTCCACTATCGCTGTAGGCCCCGTTGTCTGTGGCAGCTGCTCTGTCGGGGCCTCGGTCGTGTATGGTTCTGTGTTCAAAGCCTCTGTTGTTTGCGCAGGAGCAATTGCATCTTTCTCTTCATCGACAGACGCATTATCCAAGTCCAATGTCGGCTTTACTTCCTTTTGGGGATTCACTTTTATTTCCTCTTCGTTCGTCGCCACTTGTGCGGTAATAGGTGCCGTCGTGGGGACCTCAGTCACCAGAACGATATTGGGGTTATTCTGCCGGTCAGATATATCTGCAGACGTCGGTGTAGTAGCGCCGCCACCTGCACCAAAAACGTCAAATGGTTCTTGTACGCCCACGTCCCCCTTGATGTCATCATCCGTACTCCCCAGTGGGGTCCCCACCGCCAGCATCCACGTTGTCTGCAATGATGTCACGGCTACAGTTGCCGTCGCCAGCGTTCGTCTAACAGCCACCGTCTGCAGCATCTTGCCCGTCAATCACGGAGTGCTTCTCCCAAACGCTCAACTACCGAAACTCATGCTTCATGAAAGCTGATAGGTTTGTTTATCCATTCTTATTCTACAATAAAGCTCATGGACCCATCCGAAGCCGAAACCGAGGCCGAGCTGCGCCGCGGGCTGCTTGCAGAGCCCAACGATGGCAATAATGGTCGATGGAAGGATACGTCAGCCATGGGTGCAGTGGAGCGACTGGTGCTATCACCCTGGGAAAAGTGGACTGCACACGGCCGATTCCCGTACAAGTTGACGCTGCACGTAGCGCTGGTTTTGCTCACCTTTGCCCAGATGCAGCTCTACGACGCGCAGAATGCCGCCTACATGCGCGCTTCACATCGAAATTGGTATGTCTGAGCGCTTTAGCTCTACGGTTGCAGGCGATAATTAACCAATGTTGCCGTGAATCTAGGGCATTCTTCTTTCTGCCTCCTGCTGCAGACATTGGTGTCGTGTGCGTGCCCCCAATGAATTAGCTGCCTTACTTTATGAAAATGAATTCTCACAACTTATTACATAAATTCGCCGAGCAGACCACGCTTCCAGCGGGATTTCTACACAATCAATCGCACGATGACGGCGGTTCACTACCTACGTGACGCCTACTTCTCTATCGGCAACGACTCTGTTGCCAACTACGAGTACTTACGCACTTCTTCTGGCGACATCCAACCGCTTAAGCTAACGGTCGATCGAGTTCTACCACAGGGCGATTTAGAAACGCGACAATATCTTGTCTCTCAAGATGAAGAAAGTGTGGGGCCCTTCAACCCAAAGATGTCGTTGTGGCAGAAAAAACATTTGTTTCGATCGTTACGCGCCCTCAAGTTTTCGTTCCCACTGCGTGACCATCAGTTCGGAAATTTCTATGAAGAATGTTTCGAATGGCAAGTGAATGTCAGGTTCGAAGTCATTGAAAGCGCTCAGATTCATGCACAACTGGAGGACTGCGAAGTTTCACGCTGTGCTAGCACGCACCCACGTCCGTTCTGGGCTACAGCCAAGCAGAGTTTTGTGTGGCTGCACGTGGTTATTGTAGTCGTTTCAATCTTGTACATGATGCTCAGCCTCAAGGCCCTGCGGCGATCATTCCAGGTGTACGTGTCCAATAGACATTGTTCATCGCTCGACCTCTTCAATCAAATTAATCGTGTTTCTGTTAGTGTGGCTCGAGCCAGGGGGTTATTCAGGGAAAACAAAGATAAGCAGAGCAACGGGCTACATGAAGTCACTAAAGATGAGAAAGACGATGGCGCGTCACAGCGTTGCGTCAGGCAACCACGAGCTTCGAGATCTTGGGGTGAGATCCCATTATCGCTCAAGCTTAAACTCCTGAACGGCTTGTACGTACATCAATTCTTCTTACTTTTGCTATGCTGTAGCTAATCAAATCTTTTAATGGTGTCCCGCTGCAGACAAGTGATTGTATTTACCTCGCTGGCGCTTCTACTTGCGAGTACCATGTGGAGCTTACTTTTTCTAGAGGCGCATATGCCGATTCGATTTTGGCATCGATTGTTGCATGCGACAGCGTTGCTTTTGCTCTGGAGCTCCCTCGTGGGATACTTGGAGCATAACCAGCATATCTATTCGATTGTGCTTACGCTCAACTGGGGAACACCACGCGTGCTGCAGTTCTTATTGGGCGTATCCCCAATTTTCTTTGGATATGCTCTTTTCGGAACGATCTACTTTGGAAACAAAATCGAAGAGTTCGGAACACTGAGTGCTTCGATGATTACTCTGTTCTCGCTCATGAATGGAGATATTATCATGGACACTTTTGACGCAATGGAGCTTCACCAGTTTACCGTATCCGGGAAGGTGTTCCTGTACTCGTTTATCTCGCTCTTCATGTATGTGGTCCTGAACATCTTTATTGCCATCGTCGAGGAGGCCTTCTTCGCGACACAATCGACTCGTCGTCGCCTTAGTAACTTGCTGTCAGACCCTAGCATATCCGGTATCAACGTTACCAAGGGATCTGACATCTCTGCAGAAATGTTGCGATCCTTACTTCAGCTAATGGACTCTGAATGAACTCATGCTATCGTTAAACGCGGTTTATTGTTAGATATTTGCTGCGGTTCAGCAATTCAATGCAGATAAGTCGAGCTAAGCATACGATTACTCTCCTAGCACCTCAGTGGCAAGCTTGGTGACGTCGTCGTCGACCTGCACGACATGCTTGTGCAGGGACTGACACTGTTCCTGCAACGTGGTGATGTGACCACGCTGGACGTTCAGACACTTGTTGAGGCGGTCAATCTCCTCACTAGCAGTATTGAGCTTCTTCTGGTAGTCAATGCGAAGCTTGTGGAGCTCCTCAGTGGTACGGTCCGTGATTTCCTCGATCTTAGTCAAGAGCAGCGTCTTGTCTGCTTGGTGAATCGACATCAGTTTCTGGATCGTGTCTTCATGCGACTGCACTTTGCACTCAAGTGAATAGAGTTGATCCTTCACACTCAAACGGCCACCGTTGGAAACAGAAGTGTTGGAATTGCTTGGGGACATGATGCGCGAGGAAGCACGACGAATTTCCCTCGAAGGAGACTGAGCTTGCATTTCATCTTCGAAATCGGCAAACATTCTCTCACTCTCCATCGAAATCTTCATGCTCTTCATGCTGCTGGTTCCCGACAAACGCGACTCCATCTTTGACTGGTAGGGTTGGACGTGGACTGGAAGTTGGTGCCGACTGCAGGAGAGAAAATTGAAGATTGAGGGCAAACAGCGGCTTTACCGCTCAACGAACAAACCAACGAGCAAGCCAACCGTCCCATATTACAATGCAGTCTAATCGTGCATGCCTACCTACGCCATCTTTAGCGTGAGCTAAGAAAAAATAAAGGCATTCAACCAGTATCCATTTTTGTCTGTCGGTGGATAAGGACAAGAAGTATTCACACTCATATTTAGCACTTCGGCAATGATCGAGCACCGCAGCTCAGGATGAGACGGAGACGAGTGGCTATTTAATACATGACGCCCTCGCCTAAATAGTTTTTAGTCATAAAGTAATGTCATTAAAATTCAATAGACTTCTTGCGCGGGTATGGAGCGCTCTCTTTTGTCTCCATCTCTGAGCCTTCTACTTTCAGTTCGCTGGAAAACGAGTCCATACCACTTGAGATAGAATAGCTGCTAAACGCCGGGTAGGGTTCTAAGTCGCTACTATTGCTTTGTGCACGAGTGCGTCCCAGTAGTGCAGTGTTTGACGTCGTATTCGTGTCAACGCCTTGAGAATAGTCAGATGACCTCGCCGATTTAGCAGAATCGCTGATGGATGAAAATGCTCGCTCCTGATGCTGAGCCACAATTTCGGTGTCCGTCAGTGTACTGCTCATGGGATTGCCTGCATAGGTGCGATAGCTTCCGCCTGAAAATCCCGATATCTGGGACGGGTTCGTATCATGCGAACGGGTAGTGGTCCGGGCCGCACTCTCACGGTTGCTCGTTGCTGTTTTCGCTTGGTCACGAATGGCAACAGGCAACATATCGATGTCGTCCTTAGGCTGTGAGCGACTTTGCTCCATCGACTGCACAACCTCTCTACGATTGTCACCACGCTGAGGACGATGTTTAAACCAGTTAAAGATGAATATCAGCAGCCCTACTACGAATGCGATAGCCAAGCCGATAAGCGCCCACTGCCACGCCTCCAAGGTGCGCCCACCACTGTTATCATCGCTTGCCAATGCACCTGCAATATTTGCAGCACTTCCCGATGTTGGTTCTGCTGTTCCTAAATACGACGACGCAGATTTGTGGAAGACACACACGTTTTGTGAGCGTGTTGCACTAAACACTATCACCTAATGCAGCACGTACCTCGTGCGCATTGCGTCGCGTTCTCGACAGAACCACAATCGATGCCCCAGGTGCTGTTGATACATACGCCGTACACGTTCTGGTCGTACTCGACTCGTCTGCAGCTACACGCAGTCTGGCACTGGGTCGAGAGTGTTGAAGAGCCACTTGCAGCACATGCAACGAGCGAGCCGCCGTCTGAAATGTACAGCGCACTGGCAGGCAGTGAACACACCGCCACCTCGGAGGCTGTATTTCGTGAAGCTAGCACCAGCATTAACAGCGTCACACAGCACCGCATTGCTGTTGTCGACCCTTTCCTTTCTTGCCACTCTTTATTGAACAACTTTCATTGATGTTAAATTTGACAAAAACGCTGCACAATGAAATGGATTCAGAATGCATTTTACAAAATTTGAAGTTAAAAATTTGAACCGGTTTAATTCCAAGATGTACCCTATCCCTAGCTTAGAAAATCCATTCTACCAAAAGACGAAATGCAGCTTGGATCTGTGTTTTGGTGGAGCAACAAAGTTAATAGAACGACGCAATCAAAGGCAATCAATACTGGAAAACCCAAACAAACAAAAAACAGTTCTCTTTTTTACCGGGAAATCGACTTTGCTTTCCTATTTAAGTCAATCTATACTGATTTGAGCTAGCGACAACACTCTTCAAGTCCGCATTGAGAGCACAGCAGTGAGCATCTCGAATCAGCAACACAAACCATGACAAGACGCGAGAGGGTCGCATGAGTCGAGAACTGTTGGAATTCATTCCAGAGGTCTGGTTAAACGGAGTTGGGAAAGGAACTGAGAAGCTGCTACTGAGAAAACAGCTGAGACTCTAGTAGATTAGATCGTTGTATGAGAACGGGGCTGAACCCGTAAGTGTTGTTAGGAGCTCTGGTGGAGCACAAGTAACGCTCAAATAATTCAGTCTTCTTTTTCATTGCAAGTGTGAAAGTGCTCGGAACCGAGTTCCAAAAGGGTTATTGAGTCCAAGTGACGTCACTTTGTTCGGTTGGTGACGATGACTAAGCCGATGAAGTACACAAGCGATGGAGTGCCGAAAACCTGGAACGGCAAGGATTGGCAGACGTATAAATGGGCGTTGTTGAACGTCTTCAAGGAACAAAACCTGAAGGACATTGCCACTGGTACGATGACTAAGGCGATGATCGAGACTGCAAGTGCAGAGGAGAAGGACGAGTTCGAGAAGAAGCAACTGAAAATCATGCGCATGATTGGTACATCGGTACCGGCAGACGTCCTGCACCAACTACGCGATAAGGAGACCGGATCGGAGATGTAGACTGAGCTTTGTAACCTGTATGAAGGGAAACAATGTGAGGCAATTAAGGCCTACACGATCCGTCGCGTGGAGAATGAGCTTTGGAACACGACACTCGTACCTGGAGGAGATGCTAATCTGCATCTTTGCAAGATGTTCAACCTCAAGACCGAGCTTGGCGATCTGAGTCACACTGTAGCAGATAACACGATGGTGGATATGCTGCTTGAGAGTTTACTAGATCAAATCGAATTGGAGCGTTTGAAGTCTTCCATTTACTATGACGCAGACCCTAGTGTGTACACACCAAAGAGGGTTCGAGAGTTAATTCTTGCAGCGGCCGCTCGGCAAAAGGAGTTCAGAGGCAAGCGCAGCGAGAAGAAAGGAGGCCAAAGAGGAGAACAAAGCAAAGGTGGTGATCAGGACCGAGTGCGTTCACAGCAAGGGAAGACCGGCGGGTCTAAAAAGACGCGTCAATGCTTTGTGTCTGGGAGCGAAGACCATATTTGTGTCGATTGCCCAGAAAAGGTCAAGAAGCAACGCGGAGCAGGCGAGACCGAGCAGAAACGCAAACCTCGTGGAAACTGCACGCTACGACACGAGATAAGAGTTCCTTTGAGTCTGACGACCAACAACTTGGATGAGGGAGTGGTGACTGGAATCAGAGAGCCACGAGATGCTCTCAGTGACCAAGAAGAAACACACGAAGTGGGAGAGCCCATGAACGATCATATTACTGACGTAATTGAGGATCTTCATGAGGACAACGCTCCAGCAGTTGATCATGTACGTCATGGTGAATCAATTGCTGATCATGGAGCAGAAGCCGTTGCAGTTCATCTACAAGACAGTGATCAAACTGCTGTGAAGTCAAGTGGTAACTGGTGGTACTTTGACACGGCTTCAAATTTGCATGTGACAGGGAGCTTTTCTGAGTTTGTGTCCTATACTGAGGATACGAATAGTGTGCAAAGTATTCGTGGAGTAACACCCGCAATTGCGTCACGCATTGCTGGCGTGGGAACAGTTGCATTAACCACCGAAGTCGATGGAGAACAAGTTGTGACTTACGTTGAGGACGTGTTTTACATCCCTGGCGCAGAGTATGGTTTGTTCTCGCCTGGGCTTGCGATTGGGCAAGGTTTGGACTTTGACTATGACACTACAACACGGACCTTTACAGTCTCTCGAGAAGGGAGAGTAGTGGCTATGGCCACTTCTCAAGATGCAACTTGGGGATTTCAAGCAGCAGATCCGTCTCAAAGAGCAATTGTGCGACCGAATGAAGGTCCTTTGTGTAACTACACAATGGCTGATGGAGTTGGGTCTTTGGGCCTTTGGCACGAGCGACTGTGCCATACATGTCCTCGGTATCTCAAGACAATGATCGACAAAGGATTAGTGTGTGGCATGTTGCTGACTCAACGTCAACAAGACACATGCGATGCGTGTCATCTCGGCAAGCAGAAGAAAAAGGCACATCGCAAGCAGTTGGATCGGGAAATTAAGAAGCCTAACCAAGTGGTGTTTGCCGACTTACTAATTCCCGATAAAACGAATGCAACTCAGTATCAAGTTGTGTTAGTGGGCATGGACGGTTTTTCGCGTTTTGTTAAGATCTACTTGCTGAAGGACAAGTGTGGCAAGACCGTGAACAAGCACATGAAAGAAAATATTCTCTGGGCCGAGCGACAAGCAGGTCGCAATACCAGTGATGCTCAGTACAAGGTACAGCAAGTATGGAGCGATAAAAAGCGGCGAATTCTTCAATGATGAAATTGCAGCATGGTATGCCTCCAAAGGTATTGAACACGTGAAAGTTGGGCCTAAAAGCTCACAGCTGAACTTGTGTGAAAGGACGCATCAGTCATTGGGGGGCATGAGCAAAGCTACGATGGCACATGCTGGATTCCCACGAAGTCTTTGGCCTGAAGCGATGCGAAACGCGGTGTATGTGAAGAATCGAGTCTACAATAAGAGAACTCGAGGTGTTCCATACGAGAAGATGTTTGGTGCCAAACCGGACTTACACCACATCAAAAAAAAATTGGTGCGCTGGCGTATGTACATGTTCCAGTCACTGGACGAAAGAAGCAACAAGCAAATGTCAAGATTGGCTATGTGCTTGGGTATGCAGAAGATGTGGTGGGGTGTAAAATGTACTTTCCGGAAGAACACACAGCGAAATTCGTACCTGACCATCGAGTATCAGAAGATGTAGTTTATCGGGATCGCCATGAAGTTGAGGTGAGTGAGGAATGGATTAACCTCGCTTCATTTCTCTCATCGAGATGACGAGGACTATGACTCTCGTGATGACGGGATGAGTGAGTTGAGTGAGCCCAGTGACGTATCACCTCTTGGACTCGAGGGGGGTGAGTATGAAGAAGAACAAACGCAAGAGGTTGGTGGCACCCAGAACTACAAATCCGTGGACGAGGAGCAAAATGTTAGCGTTCCTGAAGATTGTAGTGTTTCTGAACGTTGCGAAAATGGTGACAGTAAACGTAACGAGGAAG